TCATAGGTTGACAGCATTTCGCATTCTGCCTGTCTCCTTTTGTGAAGATGGAAGACAGAACCGCACGTTTACACTCTTAAAGGCATATGTTTGCCCAAAGGGTGTTGGAACGGGCTACAGAGCGTACAGCATAAGGCCCCCGTACATTGTTCCGAAACAGACGACCAAATATCATCGCATTCTGCTGATTTTTCTGTGCGGAGTTTTGGAAGTTTTCCGAAAAACCATGGCGGAGGTTACCCCTATTCCATGCAACCCTTCTGCAGTGCGTAGGGCTGAAGGTCGCCCACCTGGTTGGTAAGTTTAGTCGGACGACGGCATGTTTGGTTGTGTCGAAGGTGACTCCAGAGGGCTCGGTGATCTGCAGTAGAAAGAGGTTCTTCCCACCCGGGCTTTCAAGAAGTATTCTAGGGATTCAAACAAAGCAGCTTGGAGCACTTCAGCGGGAAGGGAGTTGCAGAACCTTACAACTCTCAGAGAGTTAGACCTATACCTGATATCCAACCTGCTACGTTCCGGGATTCATTTCTGTGTGTTTGTGGCATTGATGTCACCGCTAAGGTTCATTAAGTGACTGACTGGATGTCCAGGGGTGTCTAAGATTTTATGATTTGTCCTGGTGCGAACTTGACAGACGAAAAGACCAATCACTAATTATTCGGACTCGTTATATACCCACGAATACGAGACCAAGGAAGAACACGACAGCGTAGTCGGATGGAATAGTATATTTGGACGGTTGTGCCAAGATACCGATGCGTTCCAACTAACTGGCTAGAGAGTCGAATACGAGCAGTGCAACGTAACACGACAGCGTGCCAAATGGCGAGGATACTTGACCGGGTGCCTTCAGCTTAGCGAGTTCAGTTAAACTATCAAGGTCAGCATAAATACTGAACCTCGTCAAACCCTAGGCTATTGATTTTGGGGGAGTGTGTGACGCTACAAGATACTACGAACCACTAGAACAGTTACATATTATTCTTTTATATTCCAGAAGATACAGGTAACGCAAAACCCATCGCTCCTCATGCACTTTAGATGGAAGTTCTCAAACCGATTTGGTCAGTCGCTCTTAGATGCTTTCCAGGCTTAATCTGCGCTTCTTCACTCTTCTCCATGCCTTTCGACTTTTATACCACGAATTTCACAAGGCCCTTAGATGACACCGTAGTCGGTTAATTTAGCAAGAACACCGCATGCGTCAGGGTTACTGGTACACAGAACCCGGAGTTCAACATACTTCAACGATTATTCACTAGGCTACCAGATGCGATACAAAGCCCCATAACGGACAAGAGTCCAATTTCTCATGAACAAACAGAAATGGAATATTTCAGCAATGTGTGTTATATTATTATCACTGTTATTTATTACTGCTTGCGCGGTATATCTTGGCGATTCAGTGAATACGGAGATGCACGTCCCCTTAATAAAACGTAGAATCTGACGCGATACTTCCCTCCAGATATATGGCCTTTCAAATGAAAACACTCGAGTAATTTAGCCAGAATTACTTCTTCGAGAATGAACTTGGTGAATTGCTTCCCCTACCTTTTGGAATAACGCTTTTACATGGTCATTAAACACGGTTTTCATTTCTGCCAGAAAATATCATCCCTATTAATGGACGCGAAATTCCACAAATAACTTAAAGTGCATTATTTGTATGTAATGTAAAATCTTCTTTCGTTCCCCACGGGGATCGCGACTACCTGGGATGAAGGGACCGTAAACAGCACTACCGAGGGCTTTTACGCACTGAATGCAACAACCAAGTCTTTAAAAGTGATGTGTGCCTTTAAATTCAGGAATAGATATCACCATTGTGATAAATCTTTCTTCCTCTACATTTGTCGCCATAAACCACTGTAAGTTCCGCTTGAATGGACAGTGAAGTAGGGGTACTTGAGAAGATGCATGTAACCCTTGTTGTATGAAATATATATTGTTATTAAAATACATCTTAGCAACGAAACTGAACTTACGCAAGAAGTCAGTAGGTTTCCAGTACTTTGTCGGGTTACTGTAGCCTATTCTTGTAGACGGCGTCCCATGTAAACCTTGGAACAAAGTTGTTGCAACACTCGAGTTACTCTTATTGGGTTTTCGTTATTAAGTAAGTTTACCGCATCTATCACGAAGAATTCATTCCCACTCCCCCGTGTTCACAGCTCTCAGGTTACATGCAGTCGATGTGTGGTTGTGATCTCTTGTAGAACATCTGTATGTATCCGAAAGAGAATAATTTGGCGCTCAAGAAGATTCACTATGATTAGAGATGAAGACCTGTGAACATCAGACGTTGCACGTTGTAATCTTTTGGAACTCGACATCAGTCGCACTTCGGATTTAGATTGGTAGCTTCAGAACGGAAGGCCACTGGCCCATATCAATCCTTTTCCAGTAGGTCTCTGTGATTATTCAGTCCTCTTTTGAACAGATCAGTTGATGACACGAAGACTGGTTCTTCTGAGAGTGAGTCTCAGAGGTTGGTTAGTCGACACCAGAACCGGTACCGTACGGGTAGTAATTCGATCGTTTGCTTAAGTGTTCTCGTTCTATATCACCTCAGGTGTACTGACCCAGGAGGAAGGAAACGAGAAGATACCTCAGGCCCAAAGTCATCTCTCCAAATATCGCACGGCGCTAACGGATCTCCCCTTCGTCTGCATTGAGATTAACAGAAGAGGTTCGGCTACTCATGTTATTCTGGGTAGGTCAGATGGAATATCTCAGAGATCAAACGAAAAGCTGTACTATGAACTTCTGGAAAGACTGAGTCATATTTCGGACCAAGATTTCCCACCCATGCGCGGTTTTCTGTCTGGATTTAACTAGGACGGTGAACATGTCGTTGCTTAGTACAATAGACTTTCTGCGCAATGCCCAAACTGTCCTAAAACTCCGACCTACAGCCAACCGGCGGTGCGCCGTCGTATTCAAGCCACAAATTACCGTAACTTGAAGGTCATCGTGGGTCAACACAGGGGGCAGGGAGGCCTCACCAGTATCGCAGGTGTTGTTCGTTGCATTTTCCACGCGCACGCTCACTCATTCACCTGAATTGGTGGGCATCGGCAACCTCTGTGACCCGGTTAACAAGCTATTTTGTTGTGCCTGAATTGTACTTACATCCTCATAATCTCCAATTTGTTGCCGAATTCTTAGATCATCGGCGTGGAGAGCTATGGGAGATTTTTCTCTATTCAGAGGTTCATAGTAGAAACTAGAAGGAGCGCTTCAACAGGGACATTTCACCGTCCACCGGCTTCCAAAAGAAGGGTTGAAAATGGATCTTTATCCCCAGTCTACCACCAATAACGCGCCCTCTGAGTCACACAAGCAGATTGTCAGTGAAACTTTCCAGCTTCCGAGGAACCTGGAATTAGGTACCCAGTGGGAAGTCTTACTAAGGCTTATGAAAATGACATCTACAGGTGTCCCGTCCTCCTTAAACCGAACACATCTTACTCCGACTGCGAGGTTTGTCAGGCAACAGAAACTTTTGTGAACGAGACAACAGCATTACTTTCTAAGTGGATTGCAGTGGCTTTCTACAACTTTCACCACGGTACTAACCGAACTTATCGGCCGGTGATTTGTTCGGTGCTGTCTGTAACCTGCCTTTTGGGTAAGTGTGACTACCGTGTCCCTCAGGCGGCGGAGAGTACTATTACCGAGGAAAAGTAAATATAATAGTCAGTGGGCCAACCATATAGAGTGCCAGCTCTCAAAGTAGTCTTGGGTGTAGCTCATCCGGTCCCGCTGGTTTTTCCATATCGAGAGTACTTAGCGTCCTGAATACATCATGCCGGTCGATGTCCAGGGAGTTTATTCTTCTGGAAGTCAATGCTTCCAGAGTTAAATTAGTGTCCAAAGAATGTTCCTGGATAAACACCCGAAAATATACCTGGTCATGGCTCCCTTGTTTTCCCTATCGTCTCTGACTAAATGGTTAGTTTCTGTTGTTTTGATACTCGTAATTTCCCGTTACAGTGAAGGGTTGAACGGCTTGACCTCTATTGGGAAATGGACTCTCATGAGGATGCCTCTATAGTGTTGGATGTTCATGGTGTTATACCCCTCTTAGTGACTAGCAGTGGAATCCAGGGTGCACGTTTTGTCCTGCCTGGGGGTTGCCAGCTGGATTTATCTGTCCCACTTTGAGTGCTATTCCCTCTACAGACTAGAACACAGTAACCATAGCGTGCGCCGCGTCCGGCTGCTCCTTGGCGAGCTGCATAAACCCCGGGGGAATTGATGTTCCCGCTAACTTATGATCACAAGAAGTATGTGATGCTTCCGCTGGTAGGCTGTCCCGGTCCGCTGATGGTGTGTTAAAATCTCTTACAACTGAGCATCCACAGTTGTCTATCCAGTGGTTCAGCTTATTCAAGAAGAAGTCTTCCGCCTCACATTCAGGGCTTCGGTGTAATACGACTCGTTTAGCATCTCGTACCCTGCATTTAAGTCAGTAGCGCAACATTCCCCATGTTTCACTTTCGTGCGCGATTGTTTCAATGGCTCTTACAGTCTAGGGATTCTTAAAGTAAAGAATAACATCGCATCCCGTGTATGCTAACCTGCTACTTCCAAGACGAACGAGTGCTCATGAGTGTGTTTCACTGCCACAAATTTTAGAAGAGACCCAAGTTTCGGAGATGGTAATGACGCCAAATTTTGAGGAAACTGTTTGTTTGTTCGAACAATGAATGCTTAGTTCATTAGCTAAACAATTCATTTACTCTTGGAATCACTTGATACACGCTTCCCACTCCTAAAACTTTCGTAAACTTTGATAACACAACTTAACTGCTTTCTGCTACTACGTGTACTGACACAGGATTTGATCTTAAGGACATTTTCATGCTAATTCCCCAATACCGAACGTTGGAGAAATACGTCTGTAGGACGCAAGAACAAAAACAAGTGGTTAATAAGTTTAGAATATGGAGTCTTTGCCTTTTTCAAGGTAATACCTCACTGACCAATCAGGGCAACCAAAGTTAGCAGTTTATCTCTATCGCGCGAATTCGTAATTTCGCCCTTCGGCAGGCACCCCTTGACACGTTCGTGCAGCCAGCTGTTATTTGCCAACTGACTAAGGGTTTTGATTTCTAGGTTCGCTTATCGTATTTTTGTGTGACTTTATGTATTGTTCATCGTTTCTCATTAATAATCACAAGCATTTTGTCATTTGTGATTTTCAAGTTGCTGAGTCACGTTCCTGTCAGAACTATAAGAACTCTTTACATAACAAGAGCTATTTTCTCTTCTGTATCATGCTGGTTGAGCGAACTGATTCTTTCGGCTAAACGTAGACTCTCCTGTTTGCTCCATGAAGCAATGTAGACGCAGGTTAAACAAAACTCTACCAAAGCTGGTAGTGTTAGAACAATAATTGGACCCCTTAGAACTTTATATTACTTTATTATTGCTTTATATTACTCAACAACATCAGTATGCTTATATTGTCTTTTATAAGTTTGGCGAAAGTCATTACTACAGGCGATCTGGTTTTCTAAACAGCTGCTTCGTAACCTCACAAAAATGTATTTCGACAACAAAACTTCAGCATGATTTTTTGAAGCATAGTTGATCATTTTCTGGTTGACGGTCGAATCATACCAGCATTTATTGGGGCGATGTCCGTTATTGGTAGTGATTGGTCGTCAAGGCAAAGTAACCTGGCCGGAAATGTGTTAGAAAATCCATTGATCAAAACTTTTTTGGCTCTTTTTGTACTGAGTAAGTCTGACGGATGACTTGGTAGTCAAGATTTCCATTCGGCCGAATTAGTAAATGTTGAATCACTCACTGTAGAGAGCGTCTGGCCAAATGCAGGGCTTCGAAACATTTTCCCTACGTTTAGCCGGATCGCTCGAGGCCTTGTATTTGGCCCTACATCCTGCCGTATATTCCAAAAATTGGCTCATTGTATGGCCTGACATTTTCTAAGGAGGTTTTACAGCCGGCCCTACATTAGGCCCCATGTCTGATTCATGATCCAACAAACATTTTGGCTGGGTGGTGTATGGTAATCTGCCTATTTGTTTTTCTCTTGGATTTACTGGATATACTTCTAATCTTTAAACTTGGTATGTCATCATTCCTCTACATTGTGCCTAGCAGTATCGTTTCATCTAGTTGAGTGTGATATATCACTTCATAAAGTAGGGAATCACTTTCTGTTTAAAATATGCACAGTTCCAAGACATTCAGTTGGTTATTTGGTTATTGCTGCATCGCTTATGCTTACATAATATTGGACCATGCAACGCAGAGGTAAGTTGAAACTAAGATCATGCTTATGACAGAATATATGAAAACCAGATGTGTGTTCTGTAACACCAACGAGATAATACGGTATTTACAAACAGGCTAGTAAAAATATTTCTTTGAGAGATGCCAACTAACCTCCTGCAGTTTGAATAGGGCTTAAGTAGACTTCAACTTTCAAGTAGGAAGGCTGAGCCAATCGGAAAGGCATTTAATGATAATCTGTAGTATTCCATACCAGCGACCGATAATGGTTATCGTCTGCTCCAATTTCATTCCAACAACCACTTGTTCTTGGCTAACATTAGCTTCAAACATCCGACCATCGGTAGACATCGCTACAAAGCATCCGTGGACGGTTGCCACCCTTTTCAGAGTCTTCTTGGACTCCAGTCACACGTTTGAACAGGCACCTGTATGTTTGCCTTTCAATGGATTCTGGTAACAAACACCAATTAATCTTTCTGCGGGCTTGACTGAGATGATACCATCTAGTGTGTATCTAAAGAAAAGATACCTAAACACAAGTAATCTACAATTATAGAAAGTAAATCGTGATCTCAAGGGACATGATTGCTGACCGAGATGTGAGGATGACGGATGCTTCCTGAATCCTCGCTCCGTGGAAGATGACTTTCTGAGGTACCTGAAAAAAATGGATAAATGAGAGTACTGCATGATGCCACAGTCCAAAGGATATCTGCTTGTGGCCAGTAATACACGGCCTTTTTAAGGCTTTTCCAATTTGGGATTGTTTATGCGTCATCTGAAGTAAAAAACACCATCGACCCTCGTAGACTGCAGAGCAAGAAGTGTGCAACTTTTAAGTCCTACCCTTTTTAGTCCATGCCTATAAGGAAAGGTAGCATTGGCATAGAATGCCAGTTGTCCACGGGAAAAACTCTACTGTCTTCATAGCTCTTACAACCAGCTGTATGACTTCGTTCTTGGACGTCCACCATAGCGTGGGCTTATTTCTACTATGATGATAACCACCTTGATTCTTGTCACAATTAAACAAACTTTTCAAGCACTATAGGACCTCCAAAAGCCACTTTCTCAACCAGGATATCTCACCGGATATTGCGATAAGCGAATTCGTTCACTACTACAACCCTATTTAGGCGTTTAGTTTTCACTAAGGGACTGGAGAATTTTGAGTAGAAGTTTGAATAGCGAATTCCAGCTTCCTGATAGGTATCAGAATATCCTGAAATATAACTTTAAAATCTGATATAAAGTTGTAGCCTTTTTCTGTAGACTGGAGTTGTGTGTAAATATATATTTATTGTTAGTGTAGTGTAATCTCATTCGGTTTTTAGGAATGGATCTACTATTACAGTCGATAACTAATAAGCTGAAACATTTGGAGACACTTGCTACACCAGAAGTGATAAAATACGTTGAACAATGTCTTGTGGCACGAAATCAACAGTTAGAAAGCCGAATAAAATCTTTAAAAGAGGCCGTTATTCAGCAGGAGCTGCTTCTTGGCAGTTAGTAAAATTTATTGCTAACCTATCTTCATAAATAGTAAATCAATATAAAGCACACGGTTCATCTTCCGACAAGGTAGTGTGTGATCGTGTTGTGAGTGGGAGTTTACCGATGGTTGATATATCCAAGAGTGAAACGCTGCACACAGGTTAGTTTTCACTTTTAATATTCTATGTACCACTGTATTATTATTATTTGTCCCTTGGGTTCCTAGTGGAACATAGGACTTCAGTAGCACGTCTCCAGTGAACTCTGTCTTTTGCAATCTTTCGAACCTGGCTCCACAACAACCCAGATGCTCTCATTTCCTCCTCGCATGATCTCCATGTCACCCTTGGACGCCCAACTCGTTTCCCCTTTTGGTCCCACTCGAGTGCCTGACGCGTGATGTCCCCAGTCGGCCTTCTCAGTGTATGCCCAATCCATCTCCACTTCCTTCCAGTGCATATTTGTTCAGCGATAGGTTTTGGTTTGGTTCGTTGCCAGCCAGCCACAGTTCCTTGTTGCTTATTATTCTGGCCATCTGATTTATGTTCAGTAACGAGCCAGCGTAGGCAGTTGTTGATGAATGTCTGTAGTTTGTTGGAAAGCCCTTTCGTAACGCTCCAAGTTTCTGAACCATATGGAAGCAGTGACTTGACGTTGGTGTTGAAAATCCGGATGTTGTTCACGTTTTATGCTGAGTGCAGTAGATCTCCACACTGGTTTCAGGCTAATAAACACCCATCTTGCTTTTCCTATCCTGGTTTTGACATCCTCATCTGTGGCGCTCTTAGTTGAAACAGTGGTGCGTAGATAGGTGAAAGAGACTATTTCCTTTAGGTTTCTCCTATTGATGGTGATTGGAGCTTGTTGTTGTTGTTGTTGGTGGTGGTGGTGGTGGTGGTTGGGTATCTTCATCGCCTCTGTCTTCTCTATGTTCACTTGAAGTCCCGTCTGTTGTTAGAATTTGTCACTACCTATTTATCATGTAGTTGCTCTATTATTCTCGCACATCTTTTGGGCTTTTATCGGCTACAGAACCCACAGTTTACGCTATTAGTGTTGAGTTTTCCAGTCGCCTCAGTATTAAATTGTTTATGATGTAAAATGCCTACATATAAAATTCAAGTACTTTAAGGTAGGAATTGATAGTGTGCCACCAGGTAGTTATACGGTTATAAAGACGTAGCTGTTAAAAGTAAAATACGTGAAACGGTCACAGGTTTTTGATCACAGGCTGTGATGAGATCACCACCTCAGTAATCTTGAGGTCAGCCGAAGGGTACTGAGAAAGACAGGCAAGTCGACTGAGATGGGTTGAACATTTTTTGCGCATATCGAGCCACCGCCTATCTTGACTTGCCATACTAGGGGAAGTTGGGTCAGGTTGGAAGAAGATTCAGGGTGGCCAGACCGTCACATGGCACCAGTCGATGAAGTCTCTGACTGTTGGTGTAAACTAGCTGGCTGGGATTACCAAATTGATAGGAATCAGTGGTACATGACTTAATGAAGCGGTTGAAAACTGGTCACAATAATACAGGTGTATTTATTCGCTGATGTATTTTAAAGGTTGAGTGTTTGTACTAACCTTCAAATCTTCAAATTGCTTATTCTCTCCACTCAACTTTGGGTGGTTTGATATCAGTCTCTTTCTATCCATTTGTTCTTTGTGTGCTACTGTGAAGTGTGGCAGCTTGGACCGATGCATTTGCATGCTAGGTTCTACGTTGATTTAGTCTTGTCACTACTTGCTATAGCTTTCTTGTTTCTTCTACTACTTAGAAGTGATGTTAAGTCTCTGATGCACATCCTGTGTCTAATTCAGTTATTTTTTTATTTCTACTTAGTGTATTATACTTGCACATTTCTTCATACTCATACTTGATTGAGTTCCTACCTTCAGTACACAAATAAAATCATAATTGAACAGATTACCACATTATGAGTTAGCGTATATTATATACTCTACGTTGTCTAGTGGTTTCAAACAGCATATCGTTGAACTTACGCTGACATCTGTAAGTGATAATTATGTTTCATATCTTTCTGTGCTTTTTAAAAATAGACCAAACTACGCAACAACAGAAGGAGAAGGATCTTGTGAAAGTTAAACCTAAGGAAACCAAGAAACCAGAAGATAAGGCATCGTCTGCTGAAAAGCCAGTTGATATTGGACGTCTGGATATGCGTGTTGGTCGAATTATTGATGTCAGTCGACATCCTGATGCTGACTCGTTATATGTAGAAAAGGTGAGTCGTCCATTGGCTGTGTTTATCGTAATCATGCGGAATTACTTCCACGTTAATTGACAAACGAAGATAGTTGTCTTCCACCTGACGTTTGAATCGATACAGTTTTGTACTAGGTTGTGTTTCGTTTACTATTTTCACCTGAAAACAGTAAACACTTGTTTCCCATTACTACTTAAAAATAAGCAACAAACGTTAGCGCGGGATTTATTAGATTCACAAATTTTAGTTGCACTCGTCTACGTTCTACTCTGCATACTTGATGCTGTTATATGGTGGAGAAATGCATGCATATGGATATACGCTAAGACACCGGATAAGGCATGACATCACAGTAAACAATTTAATTGGTCAAACAGAACTGTGAATAAATCTGAGGTGGTGCCGATGGGGAGAGGGGGGGGTAAATAAATTGATAATGATGATTGAGAAAACGGGGAATGAATTGGATTATTTTGAATATGACATATAGTAGCCAGCTGGTCAGCGTGATGACGGTGCATAACTAAAGAAGCGTAAGTGATAAATGAAACTACCATAGTAATATTGCGATAGGAGTGATAATAATGATAACAACTTTGAAAGTTTTAGTAGCGTCAGTGTGTTGTGCGTAACCTGTTACGTGCTTCGCAATAGAGCTCCTCGGGATTCGCACTTCAGCTTGCCTCTTAACCATTTGAGTAAGTGCTCAGGCATGCAAGTTTAGAGACGCATATGCATATGCAGTTTGATGTATTCGTGGATTGGAGTCATACCTTTACCTGATCGGTGCATCACCCATCTGGTGGTGTTCAGAAGTACTGGCTTAGATGATAGTAACTTCTTTTAATGGCCTTGTCCAGCCTACGCTTAACTACTTGAAACACCATGTCTCCTTTGAAAGGCTTTCTTGGAACTGTAGAGGTTTCTGTTTTGTCTTCTCTACAGGTAAAGTATTTGTTGACAAAGCCTTCTGGGTGTTCATTTTCGGCTAGAGTGTCATTCACTATTTGTATTTCATAGTCGATAGGATTATTAGAGCAAATTTTCCTAGCCCTTTCTAATTACATTCCTTTTACACTAGGTTGGAGGAAAACTCTTGAAGCGAAAATACTGACCAGATCATGAAAGCTTTCTGTAAATGGATCCTTCTATAGATCCATCATTCCTTTTTTACTCGAGAAATATCTAGGAAGCTGACAGTAGCGTTTTCTTCATGTTCAGCCGTAAAAGTTGAGGTTCACATAGTGGGAGTTAAAATTCTTCAACACAGCTTCTGCTTCCGTTTTACTTTTACAAACGATAGAAATATCCACGTATCACTGTTACAGTTCTGTGTTGTTTCAATTGTCTTGAGTTATTAGCACCCAGAGATAAGTCGGCGAACTGGAATCTGGGGCGCTGTCCGTCGCAACAGCATCGACCTGATGGAATAACTAACCGTCAAACTAGTACTCGTCATTTTTTGTACACAAGAATAACAATTTCTACAGCTTTTTCGTTGGAATAGGTATATTATCTACCTCTATGCATATAAATGTAATACTTTCATTAACTGTGAAACACTTGTGAATAAAGAGACAATATGAAATGGCACAAAATGCTCACCAACACCATTTAAATTAGCAACATTCTGGGTAGATTGGAGTGCATCAGAAACAGTATAGTTTCCAGAGCGTTTACACAAAGGTTATAACGTTGTGCTTATCCATTGAACTATCATCTGGTAAGGTGAATGGATCATTGACAGTATAGTTCTTTAAAGTACTCCTGATTTATTTATTTTTTTTGACCCGACCATACAATCCAACGGGTTTCTTAAATTGTAGGCGTGCTTACAGACGCCCGACATTAACTATATTTCTCGACCTGAAGGCGGCATTTGACTCCATTGATCGAGAAGTCTTATGGCAGTGTCTGTCACTTAAAGGCGTGCCTAGTAAGTATATCACCTTATTGAAAGCTCTCTACTCGAACACTTGTGGGCATGTTAGAGCCTATGGCGAGTTGTCCAGGGAGCTATACTCATCAAGTGGTGTCCGTCAAGGATGCCCACTATCTCCATTCTTATTTAATTTTATCATAGATATACTTATGGAGGTTTCCCTCTCGTCACCTGATTACACAGACGTTGACCCAATCACAGGTGAATTTCCTTTAGATCTAGAATATGCAGATTACATAGTCAGTCTGTTAGGTGAAGATGCTGACAAGATGCATAGTCTTCTGAACACTTTGAGTGGGAATTTGAGAATGTTTGGGATGCGATTTTCACCACCCAAATGCAAATTTTTGCTCCGGGACTGGTCTTCAGTGGTGCCCCACCGTGGCTAAGAATAGAGAGTGAAGTGGTTGAGTGTGTTGACCACTTCACTTACCTGGGAAGTAGGATCAACCCTGATGGGTCAGTTGCCGATGAGATTTCGGCACGGATACAAAAGGCTCGATTGGCTTTTGCCAATTTGCGCCACCTATGGCGCCGCCGTGATATTCGTTTGTCTATTAAGGGTCGCGTGTACTGCACAGCAGTCCGCTCTGTTCTACTGTATGGCTGTGAAACATGGCCATTGAAAGTGGAAGATATGAGAAGGCTTCAGGTGTTTGACCATGGTTGTCTTCATAGTGTGGTCCGTCTTGCGTGGTGTCACCATGTGAGTAATGCAGAAGTCAGGTGTAGGTGTAGAGTTTTAAGGAGTGAGAAGAGGTAAGTCAGTTGACGAGGTTATGAACCTTCATCGACTGAGATGGTTGGGACACGTACTACGTATGCCTAGTCACCGATTACCTTGTCACACAATGTTGGCTGAGGTGGGTTCAGGCTGGAAAAAAGCTCGAGGTGGCCAGACTAAAACATGGCACCAATGTATGAAGTCTCTGACTGTTGGTTTAAGCTATGTGGGGTGATGCAGACTAGGTGGTTGGGGTCTGTGTGGGACAAGATGAACCAGTGGTTGGAGACTGACTGTAGGTGATGTGGCTGAGAACCGATGTGAGTGGCGCAGATGTATACACACATTATCCTCATCTTAACAACGCTATACCGAATCTCACCATTTTGTCACTCCTCTTTCCTTTCTTCTCGTACTTTATATTTCTTTTGACTGCATTCACTTATCTTCATCCTTCACCTCACTACCTTTTTACTTGATGTGCTGATATGAGGTGTGGCAACTCGGACCGTTACGCAGTAATGCCTGGTCCTATGTTGATAATGATGATGATGATGTTTCTTAAATTATATTCTGATCAATATATTTTTAAGCCTTTTTTTAAACTGTCCACTTTTTGTATTTCGATAGGAGGTTTGGTTTTTAGCATTTTTACCAACTTTGAGTTGTAACTCATCTCGAGTAAGAAGCAGATGAGTTCTCCTGAAATTTGTTAATTTCAATAAATCCTGCTTTTATCACATTTGTTGCTTATATCGTTATGTTTCCCTTTTTGTTCTATTTCTGTGTTCAAAAGTCGCTTTCGTCATTGAGCATTCTATTTTTTAGGTTGATATTGGTGGGAATGAAATACGTACTGTTGTTAGTGGTTTAGTGAAATTTGTTCCAATTGAGCAACTTCAAAATCGAATGGGAATATTTATGTGCAATCTTAAACCAGCCAAAATGCGGGGTGTTGAATCTCAAGCAATGTTGATGTGTGCAAGTGCTCCTGATACTTGTGGAGTTGAACCTCTCATGGTTGAAGGTCAAAATATTCAACTTGGAGATGCAGTTGTAGTCCCTGGTTTTACTCGTAAGTTAGTTATTTACAAGCACCGATAATCATCTCTCTTATGAAATAATGATATGTCAACTGTTTTGACTCTAATTCAGTGGTAATTTTATGTCGTTGCTTCCGAATAGGGTGAAATCGCTTTGAATTTCTTTGAAATCTCACATTACATCTACCCAGCTAATTGTTAGAGTTGACTACAGTAGTCTGCGTCGAAAGTTGTGGTTCAAGATTCACTATTAGCTAAATGGGATCATTACATCTGTGACCAGTCCTCGAGAGAGGTGTATTGAAGTGCAGAAGAAGATTGTGTTGCGTTATTTGAGTTTTTATTGTCTCTCTAGACAAAATTATCAACACTAACTTTCAATATGAAGTTGAAGAATATAAAACAACCAAGATCGAGAGATGTATGCTAAGGTACAGTACAATACCTTTGAAATACTTCCTGCGAGCTACTGTTTACTTTGACGACTGAAGTATCTACCTTCTCTCGTCACTGTGTTGTGTAGTAAGTAGTCAATGTCTTCGGGAGTGTTAAGTGTCATTCCCACAAACTATTTTCAATCATTGCTGGTCATAACTTGTGCGAAGCAATAGGAATGATGGCATAACGGCTACAGATACTTGGATTTAGCCAGTGTACTTTCTACAGCCATCTCATCTATAATGATTTGGTGTCTAGTTCGGATTGGTAACAGTAAACCAAAGCAGTAATCAGGCTTAATTTTGATTTATTCATGAGTGATTTTTCGTTCACTACTTTTACAAAAAACACAAGCATGCTTAACTGAATGTTGTTTTAGTTTTAACCTGAAGGTGTCATTCGACTCTGTTAGTTGTAATATATTTTGTCAGCATATTTTGAAGGAGTGTGATATTACTAGGAGGATCCTTCCTCAATTACTCACAGAAAGTTACTGATTACTTAAGATAGAGTGTAGTCGGTGAACATGCAGAATCCTCTGAACACCATGAATAATAATCTGAGAATGCGTTTATTATTATCATTATTATTTGTCCTTTGGTTTCCTAGTGGAACATAGGGCTTCAGTAGTGTGTCGCCATTGCACTCTATTCTCTGCAGTCTTTTCAACCTGGCTCCAAAACTGCACACAAGCTTTCATTTCTTCCTCACACAATCTCCTCCATGTCACCCTCGGACGTCCACTCGAGGGCTTGGAGCGTGATATACCCAATCGGTCTTCTCAGTGTGTGCCCAATTCAATCCACCTCGACTTTCTTCTTCTGCATATTTGTTGGGCGATGGGTTTTTGGTTGCTTGGTTCGTTGCCAGCCTAGAGTTCCTTGTTGCTTATTTCTATTATTCTGGCCATCTGATGTTGAGTATCGAGTGAGCGTGAGTGGCAGCTGTTGATGCATGATGTCTGCAGTTTGTTGGAAATGCTTTTCGCAACGCGCCAAGTCTCTGAATCACCCCATAGAAGCACTGACTTCCTTGACTGACATCAGTCTTGAAAATACGGATCTTGTTCTCGCTTTATGCTGAGTGCAGTGCAGTAGATCTCCACACTGAATATTTCAGATTGATAAAAGAAGGCCTGTCTTGCTGTCTTTTCATCCCAACTGGCTTTGACATCTTCATGTGTGCCTGTGCCGCCAGTAGTTGAGACGATACTGCTAAGGTAGGTAGGTGAAGAGACAACTTCGTGTAGATTTCTCCCCTTCATAGTGATTGGTGCTTGTTGTTTTTGTTATTGTTGGTTGGGTATCTTCATCACCTGTGTCTTCTCTGCGTTTACGTGAAGGAAGTCCCGTGTTCCTTGGCTGCCTGCATCTTCTGCCAACTTGTTAGTTTTCGCCTGTAGATCTTCGAGTTTATGCACGACATTAGACATTGCACATAAATCATCATCGGTGGAATGCAAATCTTGTAGGGTCATTTCATGGGTCCAGCGTTTACCCCTCTTCTCATTCCTCACCACGTAATTTCAAATTATTGCTGTAGGACTGGTTTGAGACAAAAGATTGAAGTGGTTGAACTCGTTAACTCGCCAGATCAACCCTCATTGGACAATGATTGATGAGATCTGCATAGATACAAAAGGTTCGATTAACTTTTGCAAACCTCTGCCATCTGTGAGTGGCGAGACATTGAACTGTCTACTATGGAACAAGTGTAGCGCTCAGCAGCTTGCTTTGTTTTACACTATCGTTGTAAAATATGAGCATACTGGAAGACTCGAGAAGGCTTGAGATGTTCGACCACTGTTACCTTCGTTGCATTAGTCGTGTATCGTGATGTTACCACTTCAGTAATGTGAAAGTCTCAAGCCTATGGTTTTAAGGAGGAGAGGTAAATCATTTTATCACGTTGTACATTGTACATCTTCATCGGCTTAGATATCTGGAACATGCCCAGTCACTGTTGCCACGTCGACCCCACCCGCCTAGTCTGCTTCCTACATGGCTCAAACCGACAGTCAAAGACTTCATGCAGTGATGCTATGTTTTAGTCCGACTGCCCTGAATGTTTTTCCTGCATAAACCTACTTCAGTTAACATTGTACGACAAGGCAGATGGTGACCAGGCATGCGTATCAAATACCTCAGCAATCTCAGTCGATAGAGGTTCACTATCTAGTCAATTGACTTTCCACTCCTCTCTGAAACTCTACGCCTAACTTCTGCGTTACTGACGCGGTGACACCACAACACACGGCCTATGCTACGAAGCTAACGATTGTCAAATACCAAAACCCTTCTCATGTCTTCTACCTTTAATGGTGATATCTCGCAGCCACGGAACAGAACAAACTGCAGCATAGTACACGTGACCCTTAGAGCCAATCAGATGTCATGGTGGAGCCACAGTTGGTGCAATTTGGTGAAAGCCACTCGAGCCTTTTATATTCGTGCAGAAATTTTGTGGGCTACTGAGCTACCAGGGCTGATCCGACTTTCCAGGTAAGTGAAGTGTTAAATGCACTCAACCACTTCACTCTATTGTTACCTGAGGCATATCTGAAGACCGGTCCCAGAGCAACAATTTTCATTTGGGTGGCGAAAAACGCACCAAATTTTCACTTTAGGTGTCCAGAAGACTGTATCTTGTCAGCATCTCTACCCAACAGGACTGTGTCATTTATTTACTCTAGATCTACCATAAACACTATGTTTAGTGTTCAGAATGTCACATACTGTCATCTTAATATATGGTTTGCCACAGGAAATATGGGTGAAATTTTCCAGCTGGTCTCCCCTGCTATATGTTATTGTCACCAAGAACGGTATCAATTATAATTTTGCAGCCTAACGGTCGCGTTCATTCTTGTAATGGAAACCTGTCCGATTGGTTTGTTTGAAATAGTCATTCAAGTCTCTTTTCTAGTCAATTTGGTGTAGAATATGCATAGCGACATACTACCAGTTTATTCTAGCCTTTGTCAATACATCTAGGATATTAGTATACTTTCTACTTTCGGTAATAGTCTATTGATACAAGATGATGAGCTAGTTACTCAAGTATATCATAACTGAGTGTATATTTCACTGTTAAATTCTACTGGCAATCCATTTGTTCAATATGTTTTTGTATAGACGATCCTGATGAACAGTTGAACCCAAAAAAGAAAATTTTTGAACAGGTTAAACCAGATCTCAGAGTGAACAATGAAGGAATCGCTATGTATAAAGGTGTTCCATGGACACTGAAAAATGCTTCCGGTGCTGTAATCAAATCGTTCAACATTAAAGACGCACAGATAGCGTAATTTTTGTTCATATTTCTTGTTGGTGAAAATGTGTTAGTAAATTTTTCTCACATCTTTTGTTGTGTTTTAATATCGTGACTCTTTTTTCGAGCTACAGTTTCGACGTTTCATTTTACCGCGTATAGTTCGCGCATCAGATTTAACTTACGTCGTCCACCGTTACTGTGAATAGTGTCTATTAGTGATGGGAAAGCATGTACATTTTTAGCTGACTACCATAACTAGCGTGTGTGTGTGTGTGTGTGTGTGTGTGTGTGTGTGTGTGTGTGTGAATACTCTGTTCTATAACTAGTTTCTCTCTGTATCTTCGATTTCTTGTCCTCATGTGTTTTTGTTGTTATTGCAGATAATGAGTTATCGTTCATTAGTCCAGACATTCAAATTTCTCCACTTACTGCAGTTTAGACGACATTATCCCTCACGAAGTAGGTGTAGCTCACAGTCTAGCACACATGTATATACGAAGTTGCAAAGCTGCCTTTCTTTATTTGTAGCAGGAGACTGCAAAATGATTGCCGCACTTTTAAACAATTTAGTATATCTCACATTTTGTGTACAATACTTCAAACTACAACTCTCTTATGAAAGAATAAACAGCATTAAGAGGTTACGCGAACCACTAAGTAGGGTGTATCGTTTGCCTAAAGCCTCTGGTTCAATTCTTTCTGTCTAACGAGTTCTGGAGTGTAGCAGAAATATCGTTAGCCTGCTTTGCAGATTACGTACGGGATTGTAAGTAACTTATCACTGAGGGATGACTGAGGCCATTAGATATCTAGTTTTATCCTAACTAACGGATGTTATGTGTAACCTGCTTCTGGAGGATCATGAACAGAAGTATTTCTCAGTGTACACAAACTAACTGAAAAATGACTGTGTACTTTGAAGATTATTGGGTGAAGAATGAAGCGAAAGACATTGGCTGATCCTGAGGTATTAGTTTCATCATGAGGAAGACGTTAATTGATGAAACTGGTACTGAAAGAGGAAGTAAATGATTCACTCTTACGGCAGTTAATTAAAGGAGTGAATGGATTTTTTTCAGCAGTCCAGGTAAGATATTGATTCTAGGCTGACGGCTTTGATACGAGTTATGAATCTTTTGAAATGCATGTTAGATTATGTCTTGCTAGATTTTCTTTATTTGTTTTTGACGACTGTGATTTATAATTGGAAGTCACACATTGACTCAGATCTCAGTTGTGGTGTGTACAATAGGTGAATTCAAACCACAATGAATCCATAGTTACCTATCTTGAACAGATCAGGAATTGTATAGTGGTTAACGCGAAAGAATTTCTCTGGATGGTGTGTTTTCTAAAACTTTGGTACTCTACAAATTTGGTACACCGATTCTTAGAAAACTAAATCAACTGTAGGTACTCTAATTCTGTATCCTGGAAAACAAATAAGCTTGGTGAGTGCATTCAGAGAATGCTCCATGAAAGTTTCTTTGGTCATATGAACCTACAGAAAGTTATCATTAGAGTTCTCTGTACTCACGTCTTTTCATCAGTTATGCTGTTTTCCAGCACTTTAAGTGCTAGTTTTCATCGTTCTTATTACCTGACTGTCTCAGTGTCATTCTCTGTGTATCATCACCTCTTGTTCATTCTACCAAACTTATTGGCTAACTTTACACGGCATAGCTTATTCCATGTATCAGATGTGGTATAATTGCATATCTTTTGAACACAACCTCGATAAGAGAATAATTTCAAAACCTGCAAAGAGTACAATTTCCTTTCAAGCCTTAACCTATGAATTTCTACCTAGTTTTATGCTGTACTGAAATCCAGTGCGAATCATAATTCAGCCAAACTGTTGCGTAATAAAAGGTGTAACTCCCTCATACCCGCCACCATCTTTTCTTGTAAATATCTTTTTTCCTAAGGTAATCCTAGCTCTCTGAAAGAAACGACTGTCTTTTATTTATACTGGGTGGTGATTGAAGGTGAAGTGAACATTTGGACCACGGCTGCATTCGAACCAGCGACCACCGGGTTTGCGGCTCGATGCTCTACCAACTTAGCATGGGGGAAACCCAGTGGTTGCTGGTTCGAATTCGGCCGCGGTCCAAATTTTCACTTCATCTCCCAACATCACCCAGTATAAATACTAGTCTACCAAACTACGGCTATCTCAGATAGTCAAATGGTAGTCTTCTATTTACCCAGTAGAAGAATTGAAATATTAGATTCGGGTTTAGCTACAACTGAGTAGTCGAAATCAATTCTAATGATGACGGTTAGTATGTCATCATCCATCAACATACCACCAGGCATTACTGTGTAACGGTCCGAGTTGCCACACCTCATATCGGCACACCAAGTAAAAAGTCAGTGAGGCGCAAGATGAAGATAAGAAAATTCAGTCGAAAGAAACATAAAGTGCTAAAAGAGAGAGAGGAAGAATGAGAAAGTGGTGAGATTCGTATGGCGTCAAGATGAAGATAACGTGTATGTATCTGCTCTACTGACATCGGTTCTCAAGCATGTGATCACCTGCTCTCCAACCACTGGTTTCTCTTGTTCCACGGACCCCAACCGCCTAATCTGCATCGCCCATATGGTTCAAATCAACAGTTAAAGACTTCATACATTGATGCCATGTTTTTGTCTGGCCACCTCGGACCTATTTCCAGCCTGAACCTACTTCGGCCAACATTGTGTGACAAGGAAATCGGTGACTGGGAATACGTAGTACGTGTCCCAACCATCTCACTCGATGAAGGTTCGCTACCTCGTCAACAGATTTACCTCTACTCCTTTAAGACTCTACACCTGACTTGTGGGTTACTCACATGGTGACACCACGGAATACAACTTATACTACGAAGGCAGCGGTGCTCAAACACCTGAAGCCTTCTCATATCTTCCACCTTGATTGGCTACGTTTCACAGTCATACAGCAGAACAGACCTGACTGCTATGCAGTACACGCGACCCTGAATAGACAATCGGATATCACGGTGGCACCATAGGTGGCATAAATCGGCAAAAGCCAATCGAGCTTTTGTATCCGTGTAGAGATTTCATCGGCCACTCAACCACCAGTCCAGGGCTGATCCAACTTCCCAGTAAGTGAAGTGGTCAACACACTCAACCACTTCACTCTTTATTGTTAGCCGTGGCACCGTTGAAGACCAATCTTGGAGCAACAATTTGCATTTGGGTGGTGAGGAACGTATCCCAAACATTCTCAAATCCACTACATATTTTATACTTAATATTGAAAAGCTTAACTCGATTTATTGAATCGAGAAACACCAATGTAGTAACTATGTTGTTGTCATTGGGAGACGGGGTAATTTTCAGATTCTCCACAGTATAGGTTATCATCATATCATACTCTCTACATCTATTATAACTATCAATGACTATGTTAAGTAAGTTATCATTGAGACTAAGTCCAACAAGGGTACCTGAACAATGGTAAACAGACTAAAAAGAGTAGCATAAAGTACTCAGTAATGAAATTGTTGTACGTACATGTCCTGCCAGACATTGAGTCGAAGGTTCATAACTGTGTTAACTGATTTACACTCCACCATACCCCACTGTCTGCAGGGCCGGCGGTATTGCTTCATTTATCGTTTCTTTTCGGTTAGTATGTTCTTCGAAAGAAGTTTATTAAGAACATATTTCTAATGTTTATCACATTATATTGATAAATTGAAATAATATATTGTCGGACAAATACCTTTACTTTGAATTGAACAGTCTCCAAGAATAAATGTACAACTTAGAAAAAGATTAGACGCTTACTAGGTATCTACAAGAATCTGTATTTACCCATTTATCTGCGACAACTGTTCCCCACCATTCTGACTTGTAATTTCTATGCTGTTTATTGACTGCTTTGATTGAGTGTGCAATCACTTCATGTAGTTTTCCAATCAGTATATTTTCCAGTTCTGGTGTTAAGGTTAAAAGTTGTATATGAGGCTGAAAATGTTTTTGAAAAGAAAAACTCATTAAAGTAAATAACTTACTGTCTTTCATATAACATTGTGAATAGTAGTTGTTATATAAATTGGTGCTTTGCGTTCCATTGAATATCCCTATAGCAGAGTTGAAAAGATGAATTTGAATGAGTAGGTGGTTTCGTTTAAGTCTCATCAAATATTTCACACTGAGGAAAACACGTCTCGAGGGGTAATATGAACTTGATTATTAACAGTTATCAGTACACTTAGCTGATGAAAGACGGTACTTGATGTCTAAAGGAAGTAAAGTTGTGGAACTTGGTAGTATGTTTGCTGTAACACACACATCTTGCTACGGCTCTACAGGAGCAAATGAAGTAATACACGGACACAGATATGCCCAGATACAAGATCCTGTCTTTCAGGTTCACCCAGATCAACCCAGGACTAGGCATTACTGCGTAACGGTCCGAGTTGCCACACCTCATATCGGCACACCAAGTAAAAAGTCAGTGAGGCTCAAGATGAAGATAAGAAAATTCAGCCAAAAGAAATATGAAGTACTATAAGAGAGAAAGGAAGAATGAGAAAATGGTGAGATTCGGTATAGTGTAGTTAAGTTGAGGATAATGTATGTATACATCTGACCCACTGACATCGGTTTTGAGCCATATCACCTAGAGTCAGTCTCCAACCACTGGTTCCTCTTGTCCTGCGGAGCCCAACCGCTTAGTCTGCATCGCCTCGCATGGCTCAAATCAACAGTCAGAGACTTCATACATTGGTGCCATGTTTTAGTCTAGCCACCTCGGACATTTTCCCAGCCTGGACCTACTTCAGCCAACATTGTGTGAACAGGCAATCAGTGACTAGGCATACGTAACACTTGTCCCTGCCAGATGAAGGTTCACAACCTCATCAACCGACTTACATCTCTCTAAAACTCTACTCCTGACTTGTGCGTTACTCACATGGTGACACCACGGAATACGGCCTATGCTACGAAGGCAGCGGTGCTCAAACACCTGAAGCCTCATATCTTCCACCTTCAATGGCCATGTTCCACAGCCATAGAGTAGAACCGATCGGACTACTGTTCAGTACACGTGACCCTTAGTAGACAATCGGATATCACGGCAGTGTCACAGTTCGCGAAAGCCAATCGAGTCTTTTGTATCCATGCAGAGATTTCACCGGCCACTGACCCATCACGGCTGATCCTACTTCCCAGATAAGTGAAGTGGTCGACACACTCAACCATTACACTCTCTCTTTCAGGTTTTGCTAAGTAAACGGCGATCAGGAACACTAGTCTGAGAATGACAGCTACTAGATCACCTTTGAAGTCCAGATTCACATATAGTGTCCTTTTCGATACGGAAATTGAATCATGTTTTGGCAGTTTCAGTTTGATGTTTTAATCCATGGACCGTAATGGCCATCCGTTTTTGACCAAACTTTTCCTTATAAGCTTCAACTCTTCATCTATAACGTTGGCGCTGCAAATGCAAGTAGCAAGAGATATAATTAAATTCATTTTCCGACCATTTGGCACCTAGCCATAGAAACCTCTCAGTTACCCATTCTACTTGGGATTTCTATGGAGAAAAAAACATGAAAAGTAAAAAAATAGAAAAAGGTAAGACTGAAAGTACTTACTGTACTCCGGTATACATTACGATTACAGTTCTGTTTACGAAGTGAATGTACTGATCGTTTTATTGAATTCGCTTTACAGTCAGTTTGAAGTTTTGGAGAAGCAATAATAATTAACAATTGTTCATTGAGCCTAATTTGTTCATTATTCAATGGAATGTACTTGAGAGATGCATTCATGTTCCTAATGAGATATTCTGAATCATTATTCATGCTTTGAAGCCAGAGACGATAGTTTACATTAACAGGAATATCGATTACCTAAGCAGGAAGGGAATACAATTGCACTCATATTAACTATACACTACGGTTTGTAAAATTTAATGATAGCGTTTTATGTTTATCCGCAAACAATCAAATAAACAATATACTACTAATATAATTATGTATAGTAATGATGGATTGTGGCTAGCAGTGGAATCCAGGTTGCACATTTCGTCCTATTTGAGACTTGTCAGCTGGATGTACCTGCCTCCCTATGAGTGATGTTGTTCCCACCGAGCCCATATGCCAGCAGAGACTGATCAATTCGGCCCAATCAACGATGGTATCATACAAACAATAATACTAATATAGTTGTGTTAACATCATACCGTCGTTGATAAGACCGAATCGATCAGTCTCTGTTGGCATATGGGATCCTGTGCGGATGCCTCGATATTACGTGTGCTCTAATGATAGTAATGATGGATCATAGGTAGCAGTGGAATCCAGGATGCGTATTTCGTTCTATTTTGTACTCGTCAGTCGGATGTGTCTGCTACGACGATATGATATAAAAACAATTATACTAAAACTATACCCGTCGCACAGGAAGTGTCTGCCGTGACTAGGTGGTGTAGCCGGTAACGCCCTGGCGCTTGAGGCCATCGGCCTTGGGTCCGAGTCCCGGCGGGGACACCACCTACTTGCTGGCAGGTGCATCCGACTGACGAGTCTCGAGTAGGATGGGATGCGCATCCTGTATTCCACTGCTAGCCACTTTCCATCATTGGTGATATACTACAGACTTTCATTCATAATACTACTGCAAGTAGGAAGTTTGTTTCACATGATTAATAACTGAAAATATAAATTTAACAAGTTACATTTATGGGTTAATTTGACAATTCTTAAAATAAACAACAGGGCTTCATTTAAGGCCTAGTTGGTGTGCTCTGAGCTTCGATATTTCGTAGTGAACGTTTCATCATTAGGCTTAGTGACTTACATCTAAAGCACTACAACTTCAAAAAACAATTGAAGTATAATCGAATATTATATCAAGGTTTAAATAGTGTTTCCATCGACTCTGGTTGTTGTACAATTACAAGTTGGAGAAGAAATTTACTTGTCATACCTTAACCTCTTAACCTTGGATTTCCTTCACTCAGTGAAATTGTGCTGTCACCACACTGTCTATCATCATTGACTTATCAGGTCAGTTAACCCTTGGTTGATGGATGACTGGTTCCTTCCTAGGTGGATTATAGATTGGGTCTATATCCACATATCTGTTGATTGACATTTCATTTGAATATCATGCTTCGAGAAATTCTTTTGCAGATTTATAACCAATTCCTTTCAGGATTTCCAAATTTCCCCAGATGAGTTTGTCATTGTGATTGTTTGTATGGATTGAAACCAAGGAAAGGAGGTTGTATCATGTCACTTAATTAACTGCTTATCGGTGTTCATGAATTCATAAATTAGATTGTGGTCTAGTTGTTGGTATGTATTTTTGTCATTTAGTAATTCCAGTGCCTTTTTGACGTGGTCAGTTTTTGTTCATAACGACAGTTTTCCTTCCTTTATCTGAAGGCAATACTACGACTGTGTTGTCAGTCATTAGTGATTTCAGTGGATTTCTTTCTTTTATGTTTAGCAGGTGTTAATTTTGACTAGAAGCGAACGAAAAAAACGTACTCAGCTACCTTTTGCATACCTATACAGTAGGCCATCAGCTACATCCGTTTTTGAGGGCTAATGAAACTACGTGGCAGTACAAACCTCGGTAGGTGGAGCAGTACTCGGACCCGTGACCCAGTAGTTGATAGTCATCTGCCTAAACCATTGAATCATAGCTACCCACTTGAGGTACAACTGTTTGACGTAGATCCTGTTGTTGCTCAACATTTAAACCTGAGATTTTCAATGCAGATTCAAGTTTGTTGGCATTTCCGGTGTTATAGTCCAGTCCCTTCTGAAGGGACTGTCTTACGACCTATTTACATTTAAATAGGAAGATTGACAAGTAAACAAAAGGGCTAGCTGTTGGATAGCCAATATCAGGACTGATTGGTGGTGTGGTGGGGGTGGGGGGAATGCAGCGACTGAAGTCAATAGTCATCCCTTTCCTGTCGCTTAACTGCTTATCGGTGTTTATAAATGCATGAATTCTTTGAGCAATGCAACGGCAAGATTTACCAACATCACGCAGTGAACAATCTTTACAACTGATCGTAGATTAGACTATATTTCTTCTCTCTTCTTTTTTGGCACCCAGCCGTGAAAACTTGTCAGTTGTCGATTGATATTTTTCTGAGAGAAGACAGTGTACTCTATATAGGGGGGAACGCCCTACTTCGCTGCTTAATGAAGGCGGTGTGCCTCAAGATGCTGTTCTTTCTCCTTTCTTTTTGCCTGACTTACCAATCTCAACCAAAGCTGACTTTTTTAAGTATGCTGATGACCTGACGGTGTTCATGCCGATCATCTCTCAGTTTAACAACTTCTTAAAGGAATTTGGTTACTGGTCTTTCTTAAATGGCCTCACACTAAATTCCTCCAAATGTCAGATGGCTAATTTCTAGCTTAAGACATGAAGAAGACCTTTGCACATTGCTTCAGTCCCACGACTCTTGTCTTATAGATGGCTCTATTATGGAGAATGTAGTAAGCTTGGTTCATCTTGGCTTATGCTTTTCTTCTCATCTTTTTTAGTCCCCTCATATCTTACTGATTTCTAGGAAAATCCTTTGTTTGACCTTTTATATTAGAGAACTCAGACTATCTAGCGTAACTCAACATCTACTCTTAGTTTTCATTAATTCCTTTGTTTTCCCTATATTTACTTATTGTTCCCCCTTATTTTTACCTGGACTCCGAAAAAAGGACTACTTTGTATTGCGTAGGATTTTGAAGGTTGTTAGTGGAGCAAGTAGCACATCCCTAACGGAACTGATAAATATAGTCGTGGATAAGTATCTGAACTCTTGTAGACTACTAGCTAAAAGTATATTATCTGATGACAAGCATCCTCTGCATCCTCACCTCTCTCCATATCTGTTGTCTGGGAAGACAAGAAGCAAATATATTTAACTCTATGCAAGCACAACCACATTAAAAATTCAACTATACCACCTTATTTAGCTTGTGTATTGTGTGAAGAAAATCTTGTTAGACATAGTCTAATCAATCAACTGTGTAACAGTGAATAGTTTACATGTCTCTGAAGTCATTAAACACTTAAATAATCCTGTTATTCGTAATTCTTTATTACACATATTGTCAAATAGAACCATTGTTAATGTTTTAAAAATGTTGTACAGTGGGTAAAGTTATATAATAACATACATACGCTGAGAATTCTGTACTGTAAACATAACTATGGTGCAGAATAAAGCAAATATATTATTATTCTTTTGACAATGGATCCTTTGGCTCTCACAGAATGCTGTGTATTGATTTTATTGGTTTATGCACTACTCTGATTTCAAAAGGACAAAGCAATAAGTTGACTGTTTCTGAGATATCTTTGATGTAAGATAGTGCAACATTCCTGTTGATTTGATGCACTTGCCGGGTCTTGTGTCCTGTTGATAAACACTTTTTGATGAAGTTGGGTGGATAATCAATGGCATTGAACACTTTGTACAGATATTGTTATTCGGCATTCCGTAGTGCGTCAGTGTTGAAATGTATCTTAGATCTTGAGAATAATGTTTGTACACAGCATTTCTTATTGACTGTAGAATGATTGCTGTTGTATTTCAACATTTGATCTGTGTGAGTTTGTAAAGTTCTGTTGTGTGTTCTGCTGATGATGACACATAAGAATGGGACTTTTTATTGGATTTCTTCTCCTTTGTAAAGTGAATTCCTTCAAATGTTTGGTTGAGTAGTTTAAATGTGTTTTCTATTTCACCTTCTTTGAGAATTACAAATGTGTCGTGGATCTGCTGAGTTCAAATTTTGGCTTGATGAAAGGGATGACTATTGATTTCAGTCGCTGCATTCCTCCTACCCCCACCACCAATCAGTCCTGATATTGGCTATCCAACAGCTAGCCCTTTTGTTTACTTGTCAATCTTCCTATTTAAATGTAAATAGGTCGTAAGACAGTCTCTTCAGAAGGGACTGGACTATAACACCGGAAATGCCAACAAACTTGAATCTGCATTGAAAATCTCAGGTTTAAATGTTGAGCAACAACAGGATCTACGTCAAACAGTTGTACCTCAAGTGGGTAGCTATGATTCAATGGTTTAGGCAGATGACTATCAACTACTGGGTCACGGGTCCGAGTACTGCTCCACCTACCGAGGTTTGTACTGCCACGTAGTTTCATTAGCCCTCAAAAACGGATGTAGCTGATGGCCTACTGTATAGGTATGCAAAAGGTAGCTGAGTACGTTTTTTTCGTTCGCTTCTAGTCAAAATTAACACCTGCTAAACATAAAAGAAAGAAATCCACTGAAATCACTAATGACTGACAACACAGTCGTAGTATTGCCTTCAGATAAAGGAAGGAAAACTGTCGTTATGAACAAAAACTGACCACGTCAAAAAGGCACTGGAATTACTAAATGACAAAAATACATACCAACAACTAGACCACAATCTAATTTATGAATTCATGAACACCGATAAGCAGTTAATTAAGTGACATGATACAACCTCCTTTCCTTGGTTTCAATCCATACAAACAATCACAATGACAAACTCATCTGGGGAAATTTGGAAATCCTGAAAGGAATTGGTTATAAATCTGCAAAAGAATTTCTCGAAGCATGATATTCAAATGAAATGTCAATCAACAGATATGTGGATATAGACCCAATCTATAATCCACCTAGGAAGGAACCAGTCATCCATCAACCAAGGGTTAACTGACCTGATAAGTCAATGATGATAGACAGTGTGGTGACAGCACAATTTCACTGAGTGAAGGAAATCCAAGGTTAAAGAGGTTAAGGTATGACAAGTAAATTTCTTCTCCAACTTGTAATTGTACAACAACCAGAGTCGATGGAAACACTATTTAAACCTTGATATAATAT